GCCGCCTACCCACCTTCCCAGGGACGCCCCGCTGCGAGTGCGCGCGGCAAGTTGAAACTCAGCAGCAGCATGCGTCGGAGGAGGGCTCGTTGAGGCATCGGCGGCTGGAGAAAGAGAGGTTAGACGAGGGGGAGAGGGAGGCCGACGGGAGGAAGGAGGAAGGAGGGACGGGATGTGGATGGAGGAAGGGGAGGAAGAGGGGGTGGCCGAGGTGGAGAAGAGCGGACCAAGCGTTACATGAGCAGGAAAGAGGATGAGGCAGTACATAGGAGGAAAAAGATAAAGGAAATATGACTGGGATGAGGGACGGAGAGGAGGGGGTATAATATAAAGAATGGAAAGGATGAAAGAGGAGGAGCAGTAGGAGGAAGAGGAGGGGAAGGAGGGCGGAAACTAGACAGCGAGGAGCGACGGGGAGGAGGATGAGAACCAGTGTTAATCCAAGACGCATCAACGATGTTGCAATAAGCCCTTCCTCCAAGTTCCCTCTTCACATATACCTGCAATGATCACATCACATGTCATTGAAAGGCGCAGCCTATTGAAAGACAATAATCCGAATACTTCTAAGCACAAGCGGATTTCACTTCACCAGGCTGCAAAAAGAAGATGCTTCGCCAGGACACAAACACAACAAACCAGATGCAATGCTACACTCTTAATTTGGGCAGGATTCGGGAACTGCCGAATTTCCCAAAGTAATTGAGAACCATTGATCAGACCAAATCAATACTACTGAACATGTAGCGCCGCGAATCAACGTGACTGTTGCGTCCTGACGGTCCAGAATCGTACCAGGACGCCAATCCGTTCCCGGGACTCCAATTGCACGAATCCTTGAAAGGGCTGCACATTTTTAAAACGACTGTGCGCGGCGACAAAACGAGAGCTACATTGCGAACCGCAACATCCGGCCTCCATTCTTGAAGGTGTTACAAACTTTCAAGGCGAATGTGCGTGGCGCTGAGGCGAGAGCTCCATTTTGAAGATGGCCGCCCTCCATCTTTGAAGCAATTGCAATTTTCAAGCTTCAAGGTCATACATACATGGTGAGGGGCTCTCATGCGAAACGCACGGCCCGCCCGACTGACATGTCCAGGGGCGCGGCGGGGATTCGCTATCTTTCAGGAAAGGGGAGGGGGGAGCAGGAGGCGGGAAGAGGATAATGAAAAACGTGGGACGGGGAGCAGGAGGGACGGGGAGCAGGAGGGAGAAGGAGCAGGAGGGAGGAGGAGGTGGGAGGAGGGGCGCGGGACGGGGAGCAGGAGGTATGGAGGAGGGAGGAGGGAGGACGAGGAGGAGGAGGACGAGGAGGAGGAGGAGGAGGAAGAGGAGGAGCAGGAGGAGGAGGAGGAGGGGGAGGAGGAGGAGGAGGAGGAGGAGGAGAGGAGGAGGAGGAGGAGGAGGATGGAGGAGGAGGAGGGGAGGAGGAGAGGAGGAGGAGGAGGGGAGGAGGAGGAGGAGGATGGAGGAGGAGGTGGAGGTGGAGGAGGAGGAGGAGGAGGAGGAGGAGGAGGAGGAGGAGGAGGAGGAGGAGGAGGGATCGCGAGAAGGAGGATGGAGGGCGGAAGGAAACGCAGGAAAAGCCGACGCCTCAACGGGGGGCCCTCCCCCGGTGGGAAAGCGGCGGGCGCGCTCTCCCGAGGGGGAAGAGGCGTGCGGGGAGAGCGCGCGGCGTCGGAGATGGGCGGCGGAGGGGGGCGCCGAGAAGGGCGTGCCGAGGTGGCGCGGGCTCGCGCTCTGGGCACGGAGGGGTTGGCGGGGCCCGCGACCTGGGGCGAGGAGGGAAATGGGATAGAGGGAGACAGCGAGGAAGGGGGTGGGGAAACGAGAGGGGAGGGGGGGCAAGATGGGGAGGGAGGGAAGCAGCGAGGACCAGGGGGGGAGCGAGAGGGGAGGGGGGGCAAGGGGGCGACGAGAGAACTGAGGACACACTCACGCACACAACACACGACACACAACACACAACACACACAACGCAAGCACACATTGGCAGGGTCGGGGGGGGGAAGAGAATAACGGGAGGATTGGCAAGCGGACCCGAACGGGCGGGAGGGGGGGGAGGCGGGAAGGGGGGGGGGCGGCGGACTGGGCACGGCAGAAGCATCCCTCGGGCGCCGCAGGAGGGGGGCATCCTGGCATGGGGGTGCCGCGGCGCGCTCTGGAAGCGCCCGGGGGCCACGGGAGCGCCGAGGCAGGGGGGGGGGGGCGGGGGAGGGAGGTGGGAGGAAGGAGGATAAGGGGGGGAGAGGGGAGGATAAGGGGGGAGAGGGGAGGATGAGGGGGGGAGAAGGGGGGAGGATAAAGGGGGGAGGATAAAAGGGGGGGGGAAGGGAGATGGGAGAAGAGGGGGCGGAACACCGCAGCGGTGGCCCGCCGGGCGCCCGCTCCAAAGGTGCGGGCCTTCCGCCGTGGAGGGCGCCGGCCGCCTCACAGGGCCGTCAGGAGGGCGCCGAGGCGCGGCGGAGCGGGCGGCGCGGCGTGGGCGGTGCGGCCGATGCTGGCGGCGCGCCCAAGGAGGAAGATCAGGAGGAGGAGGATGGGGAGGAGGAGGAGGAGGTGAAGGGGGAGGAGGAGGAGGAGGAGGAGGAGGAGGAGGAGGAGGAGGAGGAGGAGGAGGAGGAGGAGGAGGAGGAGGAGGAAGGAGGAGGAGGAGGAGGAAGAGAAGGAGGATTAGCACGGACTGACAGTTGGGTGCAAGAATGGGTTCCCCATTCGCCGGACCCTCGGGGTAGGGCTGAGCGAACAGGGGGGGCCCAAATCAAGACCCAAAACTGGGGAGGGTACGGATCCACGGACCTGACAAAGCCAGCAAAGGCGCAGGGGCCGAACACACAATCTCCTGCAGGCAGAAATCCTACTGGTCCGACTGGTGGTCCTCCTTACCCTCCCTCCTCACCCCGCAGCCCTTCTTAGCGATCCCCGGATCTGGGCTCCTAGGGGGTGGCATCCCGAAGGGAAGTGAACTTGCGGGGGCAGAGGTCCACTAAGACACGGGGGCCAGGCACGAATAGACAGGGATGCGGTCGCGCAGCTCAAGAAGTGCTTCGGACTCCCGATTGTCAGCGGGGGGTCGGGGTGTGCATGGCCCAGTGGCGCCCCTGAATGACAGCCAGGGCCCCCTCGATTAGGGCGGGGGGCCTGGATGCCACCACCACTGAATTGGGTGCTCTTGAGGGGCGAACGCCCCGGCATCAGCATGCAACGCACGAGGGGACAAGGTCCCAGCATGCATTAGGCAACAGGCAACGCATGAGGGCTTATGATGGCCAACGACGCTATCCCACTAAGTGGGATTGTGCTGAATGACAGCCAGGGCCCCCTCGATTAGGGCGGGGGGCCTGGATGCCACCACCACTGAATTGGGTGCTCTTGAGGGGCGAACGCCCCGGCATCAGCATGCAACGCACGAGGGAACAAGGTCCCAGCATGCATTAGGCAACAGGCAACGCGTGAGGGCTTATGATGGCAAACGACGCTATCCCACTACGTGGGATTGTGGGTGGCGCAAAGCTGAAACGGACAATGGGGGAACCGACAGGGGGTCCTCATAAGCACTGGGCTTCTCAGGCTCTCCGGCAGATCGGCGAGCATGGGGAGGAATGCGGCGTAACAGACCGCCGGTTCCCCGGCTGTCCGTTTCAGCTGGTCGGGTCCGCGGATGTCCTAGACTACTGCAGATGCTACTTGGACCACCTTGTAGGGTCCTCTTGAGCCCCTCGCGGGGGCTCCTTGATTCCCTCATGAAGGTTACTTGGGTCCCCTTAGGGGGACTCATTGGGACTTATCTCACGCCCGGTGTTTCACCAGGCCCGGCCCAGAGCAGCCGCTTCGCACCGGTGAGCTGCCCAGCTCACCGGTGTTCCCACCAGGCACGGCGGCAACAGCCGCACTACACTGGTGGGCTGCCTAGCTCACCGGTGGCTTTTCCAGGCGTGGCCAATGAGCCCCACCTGACCAGCCGAAGCAGCCACCGTACTAGAACCGATCGCCATCGGGCGGGAGTAGTTTTGCCCCCCTCGGATTCTGAGTGCCAGCGGGTCCAGAGCTCGGAACGCACGTGGGTTGTGCAGACCCGCCCTACTTGCAAGCAAGCTTGTATCTGGGGGCAGCGAACAGAATGTCCCTTCACTCTGGCCCCTCTTGTGAACGGAAGCGGGCGACGTGTGAGCTTCCCCCCATAGCTTGCAATAGAGAACTCACAGCTACTTAACAGGGGCAGCGAACAGACCTCAGTCTTGCATGCTTTGGCCAACACGTGAACCGTTCGCACGGGCATACCTCCCGCGCCAGCTTGCCCTTCACTCGGGGCCCTCTTGTGAACGGATTAGGAAGTACCCAACCGATGAGGACGGGTGGGGGGGCGTGTATATGAGTATGTAACGGAAGGCGGTGCAAGCTATATAGTACAACGCGCAAGGGTTAAGAGACAGAGACAGAGAGACCACGACAGAGACGGCGACGAGGAAGCGCAGTTATCTCGCCCCGAGCGGGGAAGATAAATAACGAATCGCCCCCCCTCGGCCGGCCGCACACCCGAGCAGACACGCACATCACTGACCCAAGAGCTGCAGCAGCGGCAGGCGGCTAAAGCGATGTGCTTGACGATGGCTGCGCGCGCGGCGGCTGGTAGGCTGATCCAGTCGAATCAGCGGGTCGGGGGCTACTGTGAACTTGCTATGCAGTGGTCCTTAGTCCCCGACCCTTTGGGCAATGGGCGTGGGGGGGCAGCATATTGAATGGCAAGCTGATCCGGTCGAATCAGCGGGCCAGGGGCTACCGCGAACTTGCTGTGCAGTGGTCCGTAGTCCCCGACCCTTAAGGCGAAGCGGCGGTAAGCAGTACGCATGATGCACATACAGGCCACCCGCGTGGTGGTTACGGCAGTGAGATGTTCAACTACTACTTGGGCCCTGGTCGCTCCTGTCGAAACGACCGGCTGAGTGCTGCATGCGAACTCCGTGAGTCCGTAGCTCTTTGCCTCCGTACCCCAAACTCCTATCCCGAGCATCGGAATATGGGTTTGGGTCCCCGGGCCCCAGTCAACCACTGTATGCTTACTGACGCTCAGCCTCGAGCCATGGCAGGCTCCAATCATGCACGAGCTGGCCGAATTAAGCCTTTGTCGCCCCGACCCCCACTCCCTGGCCCTCGTGGTCGGGGTGCTCGTCGGACCCCAGCAGGGATCCTTAAAGGCTGCCCCGTGCGTCCCCGACCACATCGAGAACCAAGAAGCCTGGGGGGTCATTGGCACGGAGGAGGAGGAGGAGGAGGAGGAGGAGGAGGAGGAGGAGGAGGAGGAGGAGGAGGAGGAGGAGGAGGAGGAGGAGGAGGAGGAGGAGGAGGAGGAGGAGGAGGAGGGGGAGGGGGCGTCTTGGGAGCCTCTGGGGACACTCTTGGGGTCTCCTGGGAGCTGCCTGGGAGCCTCTTGGAGGCATCTGGGGCTCGTGGATGCTTCAAATATTGGAGGGCAGAAGATCCACCCCCAGAATAAGCACCCGACGAGCGAAGCTCTTTCGAAAACGAACCCAGGAAAGGAGTCGCAGATGGCAGGGCTGTTCAGTAAACGCCCAGAGCCGCTCAAATAAACACAACTTGTCGGGGTCTGGGTGCTTTTTATTCTCTCTCTCTCTCTCTCGAAAGATGGGGTCAGAGTAGATGGGATCGGACGATTGCGCCGCTTCGCCGATGCTTCGGCGACGTCAGCATCGAGGAAGTCGGGCTCCGCAGCCGCATCGCCGATGTATCGGCGATGCGGCGCCATCCTCCGACCACAGCAACTTCGACCCCATGGGTGGCCGTGGGGGACCCAATAGCGTGTGACTGTTGAAGGAGCACCATTCGGACAAAAGCAGAGGAGCAGCACGTTGACGGGGGCTCCCGTGGCAGCGGTAATTGATGTAATTTTCCCTCCCGAGCTCTGGGCCCTACCCTACGATCCGAGCGCCGTACAACACATTAGCCCGGCGAAGAACCCAGCCCTTGCTAAACACAGGGCGGCTACAAGGCTACAAGCAGGACCGCCAAGTATGCAAAGACATACTAAGAGCACGAAGCGTGTGGAGGGCGTGCCGAAATAGGGCGGGCGCCATGCGGACCCAACCACTTGGGTCTTCAATGGCGCTCACTGAAGGGCCGCGAAACGTGTGAGTGGTGTGCCGAGATGGAGCGGGCCACCATGCGGACCCTGCCACTGGGGGCTTCGGTGGAGCCTCCTTGCGGGGCCATGAAGCGTGCCATGGGTGCGCCGCGATGGGGCGAATCACCGCGCGGACCCTGCCACTGGGGCCTTCGGTGGAGCCCCTGATGAGGCCACGGAACGTGTGAGGGGTGCGCAGCAATGTGGCGAGTCACCGCGCGGACCCTGCCACTGGGGCCTTCGGGGGAGTTCCCTGTGGGGCCAGGAAGTGTGCAAGGAATGCGCCAAACTGGGGCGGGGTGGCGCCCAGCGACCGCAGCCATTGGGGCCTTTGGTTGGGCTCCTGATGGGGCCACGAAGCCCGCCAAAGGTGTGCCAGACAGGGCCCGAGTCGATATGCTGCCGCAACCACTGGGACCGTCGGTGTAACTCCTTCTGGGGCCGCGAAACGTGTGCAGGGTGTGTCAAAGGGGCCCGAGTCGCAATGCGGACGCATCCCCTGGGGCCTTCGGTGGAGCCCTCTGATGGGGCCACGAAACCTGTGAGGGGGCGGGGGCCAGAAGGGACCTGAGTCCATATGCTGCCGCAGCCACTGTGGCCTTCGGTGGAGCTTCCTTTGGGGCCACGAAACATGAGAGGGGTGTGCCAGAAAAAGGGCTCGAGTAGATGTGCGGACGCAGCCACTAGGACCTTCGGCGGAGCTCCCTGTTGGGCCACGAAACGTGTAAGGGGGGGGGGGGCAACAGGGGCCGGAGTCGATATGCGGCCGCAACTACTGGGGCCATCTGTGGAGCCCCCTTATTGGGCCACGAGCCGCGTGAGGGGTGCGCCAAAAAAGGGGCCTGGGTCGCCATGCAGACGCAGCCACCGAGGCCTTCGGTGGAGCCCCCTGATGGAGCCACGAAAAGTGTGAGGGGGTTGCTGGGAGGAGCCCGGGTCACCATGCGCACGTATCCGCTGAGGCCTTCTGCGGAGCTCCCGATGGGGCCACAAAAGGTGCCGAAACTGTGGTGGTTATGATGCTGATCCTGATGATGGTGATGATACTGATGCTGATGATGATGATGATGATGCTGATGATGATGATGGTGATGATGATGATGCTGCTGGTACTGATGATGATGACGATAATGATGCTGATGATGATGCTGCTGATGGTGCTGATGATGATGATGGTGGCTATGATACTGAGCAGGGCTTCTTCCGACCCTCGTCGCCAAGAGAGATGATGTTCTTTGCGAGGAGCAGCGCACGGCGGCGAACTCGCGGCTTCAAGGCGAGCCACTGGACAGATAGACGAGCCTCGCATCCAGCCAGAAAAAGCCACCCTCAAGCTCGAAGGGGGAAGAAAAAGGGGGGGA